AAGAAAATGCATGAAAATAAAGTGAAATCAAAATGTGAATATTTTACGGCCACAAAAAAAATAGAGGAGGTTTAAACTTACATGACCAAAAATGAAGAGATCTTTCATTTTTCAATCTTGTGAGTTTGCAGTGGTGGTTAGTACACTACGGTGGCTACAAATATAAAAAACAAAGAGAAATAATTAAACATGCAATTGAAAATATGCAATATTGTCTTAACAAAATTAATCGTGTAAGCAACTTAAAAAAAATTAGATAAATACACTTCTTATGCGACAAACAAAAATAATTTGATAAGTACTAAATATTCAAATAAAAATTTACAATAATTGGATGAAGTACTGCATAATAGCAATGAACGAATTTGAGGTTGCAAGTACCANCTCAATCACAACACATAGCAATGAACAAAGGTCTTAAATAAGATCTATACATAACAGAAGGACACAAAAAAAGTACTTCCCTTAACCACTTTATTTCCACAAAACCAACGCGGTAATAAAAAGTATAGGAAAAAAAATTATGCAATTCAACTCAACTCAAAGGCCCTTTACTCATTTTGCACAAACAACAAAAAGACAAAGGAACATAAAACTCAAATTGAGTAAATCAAAAAATTAGAAATATTTGTTAAATACACATATTCATTTAGTTGTAAAATTGTCAAAAACACATAAATGTTGACATATTTAGTGCATGTGTAGATCATTGACATAGGTGGTGATAGCTTTTTTCAAATACTTTGTGTAAATCATTTTTAGTGCATGTGCAAAAAAATCAAATACTCTTCTTGCCCTTCCGGTTTCTTCTACTAAAAATCAAATACTCTTTTAAGTAGATGGGTGGTAAGTAAGCATTACTCCTTTCTAATGATGCAACTATGCAACCAAGGTGTACATGACCATTTTAGCTAATTACCCTAATCCTGAGAATCTATCTATTATTCATTTTCTTTATTTATTATCTGGCAATGTTACAACCCAACTTCGTCAGTTTGGCTTATGAACAAAAATGTAGGAATCCCAAAAGTACAGCTAAAATGGTTTGCTTCAAGCTTAAAAGTTCTGATTGGAACCAATAAGTCACTGCCTGGACGCAAAACAACAAACAAATGATTTTGGATATCATGTAGGGCCAGAATCAGAAAAATCAATTATTAATAACAAACCATCCCACACATCATGTCCCAAAAATTTAAACCTCATGATGTGATAAAATATCAACTTACTACAACGGTCTAAAATTTTAAGTTTTGAAGTCCTTATATATTTATCCTTATAGTACCACGGAACTCGTTTTACACTATTTATCTTGCATCATGCTCTACAATAAATTGAGACTTCAAGAATCAAAACCACCTAGGCAGCAATCATATATGGCAACAGCTAAATAATGCATACCCTGAAGGATGAAAAAGTCAAGGGCCTTGAAGTTCAATTTCTCTCGGTTCTATTGTCTCCAAAATGCAAATCCACTATCACAAAGCAAAAGATCAAAGGTAGAAAAAACAATTAGACCAAAAGAATCTAAACTTTCCAGTACACCAAAGTAATCAAATTTTTCAGAAAAGGTCCTTGCTAGGCAAGACTTACAGAACAATTTGGTTAAGAATATGGAAAGATCACTTTATACATTATGAATAAGTAACCTACCTGTAAAGAAGATTCAACCCATCGCTTAAATAAGACAATCTCAAGATGATTACGAAGATACTTACTACTTATACTCCATTTCTTCAGATGGGTCAATGAACATGTTCAAAATTTTAAAGAAAACATAAAATTCCCTCAAACCATTTTTCAAACTAAGGAAGCTTAGTATATATAGACAAAAGACCAAACATACAGTCTAGGTGACCATTGATTTGATTGTAAAATTCAGATTAGTGGTTGATTTAGGCTCATGACTAGCATCTTCTAGCTTGATTTCATGACCGACACATCAAAACATATTGTGCAGGGGAGATAGACACATCAAAACATATTGTAATTAGTCTCTTGCAGACACACGACAGATTTAATATATGCCTGAAGCGACTGTGTGTGCGTGGCTGTAAATGCAGTCCAAGCAAAAGTGAAAAACAGATGTGTGTGGTTGTGATTCAGAGGGTGCCTTTGACAGAGAATGTATGGCAGGGGCATTTGAACAAACAGCTTGTGGGCATTTGAACGAACAACTTGTGGGCATTTGAACAAACAACAAAACCAAACAAACAGAGGCAAGTTGCGTTGAAGGATTTGAAAAAGCTTCCACAGCCTTAGTTCTACTCAGAGTCTCATGCAGACTTACACTCATTACAGACATTACTGTTGCTGCCTGCAACAACCACCCACTGTGAACCCTTGGTCTGTGGTCACAACAGCCACATCGTTAGTACATATTCTGAGTGTCTGTGTGGTTACACATCTGTACTCACTGCTCATTTGGTTTCAGAAAATTCTATAAACAGAAAATTCTACTCACTGCTCATTTGGTCTCATTTGGTTTCCTGACTCCAATAAAAACAACTACTGGATTGTAGTCTCTTTTTCATGAAATGTGCTTCCATTGGCTTTGAAGAGAAAATCAAGCCCACGTTTGTATAGATCCAATCGACGGAGCCTTTGCCACCTAAACTACAATGAAGAAATCAAAACTATAATATCACATAGATGTATAAATCATTCTTAGTATCTTTTAATACAAAGATCATCCCTATATAGTTATAGCATTATACCATGACAAACTGAAGTAACAACTCGCCAATAACAAAATAATTCCAAACTATGAACGCATAAAACCCCAATGTCACCACCGATTCATAATATATTCCAAGGTTTAAAAAAATATAACTTCATATCACAATCAAAAGTGAAGCAATATATCACTATAACAACAATTCATTATCCAAAAAGTATAGCTGAATGAATTCAATCCATAAAGAAGGCCAGCTAGAAACGATTGCAATATAAATTATATGCTCATTCAATGCAAAGCACATAATCTAAACAATATAAAAACTAATCCAATTTCATGACTCCAAACCAAACCAATTCACTTTGTCCCAGCTGAATATTAATTGCCTATATTAACAAACAAATCTATGGGTTTACTTAATTGAATCCATATTAACAAACAAATGTATGGGTTTACTTAATTGAATCCATAAAGTGAAAAACAAAATTTTAATTGTTAAATCCTTAAAAATAATTCATTAGATCACAACATAAAATCCACAAAAATAAACACATTCATTCATCATCCACATATATATCTAGAGGGATATAAGGAGAAACCCACAATAGTGTAGGCAAAATTGCAATTCCTAAAAGTGGTAGCACAATGAATTCAATCCATAAAGAAGGCTAGCTAGAAACGATTGCAATATAAATTATATGCCCATTCAATGCATAGAACATAATCTAAACCATATAAAAACTAATCCAATTTCATGACTCCAAACCAAGCCAATTCACTTCGTCCCAGCTGACTTTTGAATCAAATGACCAAAACAATCAATAATTGAATTTAAACCCAAGCAATTCATATTACCAATATATGAAAGGCAAACTAATTTGATCATTGCAATGTTTAGCATGGATCAATCAGAATTGCCAAACATCATTAACATTCAATTTATGCAAAAAAAAAAAAAATTCAACCTAATTGATACATTGTACGCGAAAATTTCCAAAAAAAATGGGTAAATAAAAAATGAAACTCATCCATGCTAAACAGCTACATACATATGTTGTCAATGCATTAGGAGGGAAAGGTGTAGTAGGAAGAATTCTTACCAAAGCGCTTCATCACTGATTCCATGAGTGAAGCATCACCAAAGTGCTTCTCAACCTTCAAAACACACACATATCCTCTTCTTAATCAAGTAGTATTGTAAACCCTTAAAGCTTAACACCAAAGAAATTAAACGATGAAAATCAATAATCAAAAGTGTGCATATTGTTCATTCAATCCAAATAACCATGTTTCCATGAGAAATTTCATCAAACTAACCATGTGCATAACCAAAGATGTAGCNTTAAAGCTTAACACCAAAGAAATTAAACTATGAAAATCAAGAATCAAAAGTGTGCATATTGTTCATTCAATCCAAATAACCATGTTTCCATGAGAAATTTCATCAAACTAACCATGTGCATAACCAAAGATGTAGCATTTGTTCAGTACATAATCGAAAGGAATTCCATGCTAGAAAACACCATTCTAAATTGCACAAACAATGAATGAATGACCACAACACCATAAATTGCCAACTAACAAAAGTGGGTATTTACACAATTTTATAAGCAAAATATTTGCTAATAGTTCAAGAATTCATTGACCACAGCAAAGCTTGAAAGTGCAACGTTCATCTTTGTTCCTCGTTGAAGTAAACTTGGCTCCATCAAGCAACATGAGTACCTAGTGAACTGGAAAACACAATGATAAAAATATCACTTAAAGCTTAAAATATCACATGTCATCAACTTTTCTCTTGTATAAAAACTTAATCAAGTCCAAAGTATAAAGTCAAGTGCATAAACTTTCAAACCAAAACACAGAACAAAAAACAGAGCAGGAAAGAACTTGCAAGTTCTTATTCGTTATTTTGTATCATTTGAAAATCTAGATCTTTGACGATGGTCACAGGGCAAGCAGCATTTGCCATCACATACGCCTGTGTCATCACCACCACCCCCAAAACAAAACACATCCCATGTTAACTTATGAGAGAGAGAGAGAGAGAGAGAGAGACTACCACTATATATTGTGATTTGTGAGAGATCAGATCATGGTCGATATAGAGAAATGAAAAAAATCATAATAAAGAAGTACCTTTTGATGGTGCTAAGTCCCCTGCTTCCGATGACCAATGAATCCAGCTGCAGATCTTCAATAGCTTCACACAGCTTCTCTCTTGCATCTCCCCAATACAGTTTCGTAACAAAGATTATCTACAAAAAAAAAACATTTATTTCTTAAAATCACTCACCCAATTACAAACAAATAATTGGAATTCATGCCGGCAACTGGAAGAGTGCTATTACTCCAGGACCAGTCAAGGTTGCCTAATGCAAGGATCAGGTAGAGTATGGTCTGTAATCAGAAGGAATGGGGCTGATTATGCAGAATGCCAGCAGTCAGCAGGCATGATCTGCAGCAGATGGTTAGAGAGCATGCTGCCAAGTGCAAGGATGAGGGAGTGAGATCAGAATTACAGGCAGTGATCTGGGATCAGAGCATGTGGTTGTTTTGCTTTGGAGACTGGAGAGTGCTGTCAGACTGGACTGCTGATTGGAGACTGCTGTTAGGCTGTGTAGTGGAGAAGTGAAGTTGAAAGAGGTCTTAACAGTAGTTTTTCTATTCTTTGAAACATAACAGAATTTTTTGTTATGAAAACAGATTCTGTTTTTTGCTTGTTAAAACAAATTTTTTCTGTTTTTGATTCTTGTAATTCCTGAATTACATTCAATAAATTTTATTTTAAAAAAAATTACAAACAAATAATTATCAGTATGAAACATGAAAACCCCAACATAAAACGGCAAAAAAAAGAAAAAAAAACTAAATATAAATGCCCTAAACCTCGACCAGAGGAATGAAAGCTAAAAAACAAAAAACCCAGGTCAATTTCAGTCAGATCAGATCAAAATTATCAACATGAAGAAAGGTTGGATCAGGATCATGGGTATGAAATGATCTATAAAAATGACGATGATAATGAACATGAGACTTGATGTGGATGATGTAGAAGGTATCACCTTTTTCACCCAAGTTGTCGATAGCCCATTGCAGAGCCGTCTTGCTGCTCTTTGAGAAATCCATTGTCACTCCAATCCTCTCTCTCTTCTTGTTCTTGGTTGTATGAAGAACAAAATCGACTTGGCGTATGAAACTTTGAACCAAAATCGAAGACTTAAAAAGGTGTAATCTTTTTAAAAAAAAAAAAAATTACAAACAAATAATTATGAGTATGAAACATGAAAACCCCAACATAAAACGACAAAAAAAAAAACAAAAAACAAAAACAAAAAAGCCATATCAAAATCGAACTTGGCGTATGAAACTTGAAACCAAAATCAAAGACTTAAAAAGGTGTAATCTTTATGAATGGTTTGATGCTTTTGGATGGAAGCTGTGATGAGAAAGCTAGAGAGAGAGAGAGGAGGAGGGGTACTTGGGCGACGACAGGGAGAGGGAGACATGGCAGAGGCTTCATCTGCTTCGCGTGTGTGTGTGTGAGAGAGAGAGAAAGAGAGTCGTGACAAAAGGAGAGAGACGTTATTGTTGCCGCCTTGCCTTGGGTTGTGTGTTGGAGTGGGTGGGATTTGGTTTTTGAGTGAAATGTATTGTGAGTCTTTGAATTAGAGATCTTTGAATTGATTTAAGATCGTTGGATGTTGAAGCCGCCCTGTTTTATATTATAGATAATTATGTATGATTGTGACCTTAAACCTCTTAAGACAACTCATAAAGTAACATATATCTACCCATCAAAGAAATATAATAATGAAAAATTACCTAGTTATTTCACTACTTGAAGCAACATCGCAACCAACATCTTTATAGTGTTCACCAAATTGCCACCTTAGTGGCATTGCCAACCTCAGTTTTACGTGTTAAACAGAACAAAAATTCACAAATATTGAGCTCGCAATGTTTGTCAACCAAATGTTCAATTCAAGTAAAAGAAATACAATTAGAAATTCAATTATGCTTAATCCCGAATTCCAACAAAATTCACATAAACTTGAACATAATAAAACTAATCATCAATTTTTTTTTATAGTAGAACATCCAAAAGTAATCTCCAAGGCTTCTTTATTTCTCTGATTTTATTAACAATACCATAGATTAACAAACTAAAATTCATTAATGATCAACAAAGTCATAAACTCTTAAAACTCAATCCAAACCACTAAGTAAGTTGCATGTTATGTACAAATTAAAATGAACTCATCAAGACAACACCAGTGCATTTCTTAGAAAAAACACATACCCTAATTCATGTATTTAAATAGAACACAGTCAAAACCAATGCAAGCAATCTAAAATTTGGAATAAGAGAAACATGCAAAAAAATAGAATAAAAAACAGTAAATTGCTACTTCCATCTTTAATCTGTTTCAAATAGAAAAATGCTACCCAACAATACAAAATTTAATAATCCAAAGACCAAAAAACAAATTATTAAGAAGCATGACTCTGTGCCAAAAAAAGAGCACATGGAAAGTTCCTGCCACGAAGCAGTTGATAAATAGATGCCCCCCATATAGTAATCATCCAACCAAACCAAAACTCATCACTCACCANAAGCGGTTGATAAATAGATACCCCCATATAGTAATCATTCAACCAAACCAAACTCATCACTCACTAGATATTCCAAAAGCTACCAATTCGGATGTAAAGAAATCAGCAAAAGGGGAGAAATCAAACCATAAAATATATCTAGAAGACTATTCGTGACAAAAAGTTATACGTCTCCACCAACTACACAACTTAGATGTTCCTTCGTCCGGATGTTAAGAATCTAATACCTGCCGGTATTGTGATAGCTTGAAAATTGGTGGATTCTTGCTGTTTAAATTGAGGAAATTCTCCTGNTGTTAAGAATCTAATACCTGTTGGCATTGTGGTAGCTTGAAAATTGGTGGATTCTTGCTGTTTAAATTGAAGAAATTCTCCAGTTGGATTATTGGGAGAACCCATAAGCAAAGAACCCAATAGCATTGGTTATGGCAACATTAATCTGTTGGATACAACATTGATAACAATGTTGGTTATCAAGCAATTGGAATACCTCTTATCGCAACAAGAACACACACCAAATCAGAGCAATTAAAGTTCGTTTAAAGAATCTCTAATGACAATCCCACACGAAGTGGTATTACTATGATAACTGGTATCATGGAAGCAAGATGAAAGCTAAGTATGACTTTCTCTAAATAATTTGTAATTATACATGAGGAATATGAAAATGAAACTACTTAAACACTCAAAATGGGCATTGTTTTCTTTTGTAACTATTCTGTTGAAATAAATCTGTAGATATAAACTCAGAAAAAGATAACAAAAGAAAAAGTCATACCAAGATAGTACTTTTAGGCAGAGTGCATCCNATCTGTAGATATAAACTCACAAAAAGATAACAAAAGAAAAAGTCATACCAAGATAGTACTTTTAGGTAGAGTGCATGCTTTAAGAAATACGGCCTTCTATAGATGTCATCAACTAATACTTTGAACATCTACACAAATTAACATTCCAATTTATAATCAAAATCATGACAGCTCAATCACCAACCCGATAGAAAAATCAAAAAACGATTTTAACAATAATTACCGCCAATTTCATCTCATTAACAACCCAATTTCATGAAATTAACTTCCCCAAATTTCCTCAATGTCATGCAATTAAAACGATTGATAACAAAATTGACAACAATTAACACCACTTCAATCAAATTAACAACCCCAATTCATCAAATTAACAGCTAGGATTGTGCGTGTGAGTGTGAGTGTGTGTGTCCTATGCATGTGAGTCTGGTGTGGTGTGTGCACTGTCAACAGTGTTGTGCATGAGAGAGAGAGGGGGGGTTTGTGTGCAGAGGTTGGTGTGTGTGGGCGTGGGTGAAAAAATGAGGGTTGGGGGAGGGGGATGTGGTCCGCAGATAGGGGAATGGTGGTTGGATGGGTGTTTGTTTGTTTGTGTGTGTGTGTGTGTGAATAGTGGTTTTGCAGAGAAGACGGAGGGGATTGGGGGTTTGTGTGTGCATGTAGCAGAGAGAAGGGAGGGAAAATAGAGGGTTAGGGTGGGAAAACGGTTTTGCAGAGAAGACGCAAAGGATTGGAGTTTGTATGTGCGTGTAGCNGTGTAGTAGAGAGAGGGGAGGGAAAATAGAGGGTTAGGGTGGGAAAACGGTTTTGCAGAGAAGACGCAGAGGATTGGAGTTTGTATGTGCATGTAGCAGAGAGAGGAGAGAGATAGAGAACGGGAAGGGAAAACAAAAGGTTAGGGCAGGGGGAAAAACAGAGACGACAAAGGGAAAGGGCCGTTTTGGGATTTAGGGTTTGTCTATGCATGTGGCAGAGAAAGAGGAGGGAAAGACATAGCTGAGATGGTGGTGCTAGTGGTGGAGGCGACGCTGGTATAAGAGAGTGGGTGAGAGAGGAATGGGGTGTGGAACGGGTTGCAGGTGATGAGAGCCGAGAGAGAGAGAGAGAGAGAGAGAGAGAGAGAAGAAGGTGATGGGTTGCAGGTGTGATTGACGGCATGGTGTCATTAGTGTGATTGATAGCAGGTTTAAGGAGGGGGAAAAAGAAAAACTTGGCCAGGAAAAAAATTTGAATTAAGTGGTTGTAGATCGCTGGATGAAATGAATTGTGACCGTCCGATCGGCTTGTTGAAGTCCGCTGTGTTTTATATTATAGATATACTAGTCATAACTCATATCTGAAGGCAAAGCGTTACTCATAAATAAATTACAAATATTTGCCCATGTACAAATGCAAGGTATATCACAATATTTTAGCAAATGACAATGAAATTGAGCTCACTCACCTCTCCTCACATTTTCGATAAAATATATTCTAAAAATTTATCATTTGACCCGCATCAACCTACATGAATAATATACACAATCAAATCTTTATGAAATGAAAGTTATGTTATAACTACTGAAATATAATAATTCAAACATCTGAGAAAATATGTCGATTGATAATGTTCATTGTTGATTCAACATCCATCGACCATACATGGGAAACAATATAACCAATGCGAAAATCAAATCTTGAGTAGAACCCAATGAACAATTTTGAATGTAAATAGTAACAATATAACAAATGCAAAATAAATTAAGCTTTTATTAAAATTAAAAACAAAACTAACCTTGCACATGCACACAAAAAAATATTGAATAAAACTTAATGAACAGTTCCAAGTCTTAATATTAACAATATAACCAATGCCCAAATTCTAAACCATTTAACCAATGTGAAAAAATTAAGCATATACTAAAATTCAAAACAAAAAGTACCTTGCATCTAAACAAAATCAATACTTGAGCAGTACCACATCACCCAAATTTAGTGAATTTTCAGCGGTAAGAATCCAATTCGTTGAACTCTCAAACCCAAATTACAAAAAACTTGTCCACCCAAAACCAATACACTATATCAAAAAAAAAAAAAACCATCAAATGATTTTAATTAAAATTAGTTTTAAATTTAATAGTCACATAATCCAAATTCTCACTTGACCTTTTTTTCAATCCCAATATTTATCTATAATTGACTTCATATTAAAAATAAATATGTGAATTGAAGC